TTGACGCGTCCCGCCGAGTGGCGATGCGCGGGGCGGCCGAGTGAAGTAGATGCGTCCCGTGAAGTGTCGATGCATGGGACATCCAAGTGATGTAGACACGTCCCGCGAAGTGACGACGTGCCTCCTCCTCTGACTTGCACTCAGGTACTAGACGAGGAATTCGTCCGGGTGAACTCGGGTCCGTGGCTGAGTGAACTTGAGTCTGTGTCCGGGTGGCTTTATCTGACTGAACTCTGAACGAATCTGGTTCGCTGATGTCCGATTGAAAGATCCATCAGGGGTGACCCCGAAAGTCTGCAAGTAAAGCCATGGTTAAAATGCTCTGTGGTTATACCTGCATGCATGCATGCATGTACCCATTGCTAGTTCTTTGGGCGGCTTAAAAAATAAGTTGCCTCTCCCCAGCTTAAAAAATAAGCCACTCCCTAAATTTTTTGAAGCTTCTAAATTAGTTATCCCATAACTAGTTTAGAAGCCCCAATGCATGAAGGAGGACGCTTATGGGGAAAGCTAGGGAGGAGGTGGCTTATTTTAAGCCGCCAAAAGAACTAGCTCTTAGAGCATCTCCAACAGCCGCGCCAAACTAGCGCCACGCCACAAAATTGGACGTTTTAGCACGCGCGCAACCGGTATAGTTGCTCCAGCAGGCGCGCAAAAACAGTGCGCGTGGCATATGTAGTTCGGCGCGCGGGCTGAAACTCAATCGGGTGCCGCTTATTTGCTGCACCCGCTCCCGCGTGCTCGCTCGCAACTCCCACCCCCCATCCAGCCGCGCCGCCGCCGCCCGCGCCACCCGGCGACCGTTCCGGCGCTTCCCCGGCCTATCCCCACGCCGCTGTGGCTTCTCCGCCCCCCCCCCTCTAGTCTCGCTGCCCGTCGCACGCGTCCGTCCTCCGACGAACAGCGCCCGAGCGCTCGCTACCGCTCGGTGCCCGCAAGGTGTTTGACAAAATGCCTACAAGGTATGTATTGCTCAAACTTCATGAATTTGGTGCACGTTGATTGTAGTTTTTATAGCATAGTATTGAACATTGTAGATGAGTTCGTCGTATGATTCTTCCGAAGAAGAATTTTATATGGAAGAGGAAGAGGATCTTGCAATGATCCTAGCTATGCATATCAATAAAAACCGAAGCACGGTGGTTGGGTTATGAGTCGGCAGAAAATTTTGAGAGATAGGATCGATGCCCATAACAGATTGATGGGGCACTATTTCATGGAGAATCCCACATACCCGGAGTCGTATTTTCATCGCCGGTTTAGGATGAGCACCGACTTGTTTAGGCGCATTGCAGAGAAACTAGCGAGCCATGACCAGTTTTTTCAGCAAAGGAGGAATGCCGCCGGAGGGCTCGGGCATAGCACCTTTAAGAAGGTGATAGCCGCTTTGCGTATGTTGGCATACGGTATCCCGGCTGATCTAGTTGATGATCACTTGGCTATGGGTGAGAGCCAAGCCATCATGTGTGTCAAGCGCTTCGCAGTTGGAATTGTGCAAGTGTTTGGCGAGGAGTATTTGAGATTTCCCAATGTTGAAGACGCCGCAAGGCTATTGGCGATGAACAAAGCTCATGTCTTTCCTGGCATGCTTGGCTCAATAGATTGCATGCATTAGAGTTGGAAGAATTGTCCAAAGGCATGGCATGGGCAATTCCACGACCAAAAAAGGGTCCCACTATAATCCTTGAAGCGTTGACCGATCAAGAGACTTGGATTTGGCATGCATTCTTTGGAATGCCTGGATCTTTGAATGGCATCAATGTTGTCAAGCGATCACCACTGATGAATAAGATTGCAAACGGTGAGTTGCCACTGGTGCAGTTTGTAGCAAATGGCCATACATACAACTATGGCTATTATCTAGCGAATGACATCTGTCCAAAGTGTCAACCTTCGTGAAGCCGTTGAAAAATCCGGAAGCTAAGAAAAATCTTGATTTCCACAATGCTCAGGCGGCGGCTAGAAAAGATGTGGAGAGAGCTTTGGGGATTTTGCAAGCCCAAACTGCTATTGTGAGAGGACCGGCTAGATTTTGGTATCAAAAAATGCTTTGGTACATCATGCACGCTTGTGTGATCATGCACAACATGATCATCGAGAATGAGCGTGGCCAAGATTTAGAATACTCACAGTATGAGCTCTTGGGACATCTCGTGCGAGTGCGACGGAGGGCTGAAAGGGTGGCCCGTTTTGTTGCCTCCTATCATGCCATTCGGCGTCCCACAGCGCACAATGATCTTCAGAAGGATCTCATTGAGGAGTGGTGGGCATGGCATGGACGACAAAGAGCATGATTTCTGTGTTCGACATTGTATTGTTCATGAACTATTTGTTGTGTTTATTGCAGTATTTGTTGTACTGAATGATAAACTATTTGTTTGGGTTGTAATAACAAAACTGAACTATTTATTGTTGATTTATTTTGTTAGTTTGATCATTTTTGCTTCTATTTGAAATGTATATGTTGTTTGTGCGAGTCGTGTGCGCTGCATTTTTTGCACGCTGTTGGAGCGGCGCGCGCGCTGCATTTTAGCGCGGTTGTTAAAGCCAGCGCTGGCGGCCACGCAAAACCAGGCGAACGGCGCGCGACAAACTAGTTTTTAGCGTGCGGCGCGAAGCGCGGCTCTTGGAGATGCTCTTAGGGCACGCTTTGGCCGCCGTAATCAGGTAACCAACACTGGAAATCCCCATTAACTGGCCACTTAATGAGGCAATCGATTAACTCCTCGGAAGAGTTATGATGCTCACATCCTGAGGCTGGCCATAGTGGGAGTAACTTAAGTAGTATCATGCACTTGAGACTCGCAAACATGCTTATGTGACAGACAATTAAAGAAGAGAGAGATTCTTATAGTAACATAGGTAGATACCCTAAGGGTGTGTTCAGTTGAAGGGATGGCTTGGAATGGCATGGGTCCGACCCTCCCCTAGCCCCCGTTCTCGCGTTTAGTTGAAATTGGGACGGGCATGCACTGGTTCCCCGCGAGCGAATATTCCGCCCAGATGCGGAACCAAGTGATACCTCAGAAACAGCCGGACCACGCGGAACGGTTGCCTCCCTCGCACTCGTCCTCAGCCCACAGGTGCGCCGCCTCCCTCCCCTCCCTCCCCCTCCTCCCTTCCCCATGGATCTGGGCAGCGTCGCCGGTCCTCTCTCCCTGTCGGCCGGCGGCTGCCTCCCCCACCCCTCCCCCTTCTCTCCCCTCCCTCCCCCTCC